ATGCATCTCCACCCTAGTTTTCGTGTGTTATACCTCAATCCCAATAGGTTGTTTGTCATTACTATTATCTAGAGAAGATATCACCAAGCAGAAAAAAAATGGAAAGGTGAAAGACAGAAATGGTGTTACCTTGACACAGAGTAACTGAAAAGCCTCAGGTTCTGTAAGCTCTTTCTGCTCTTTTGAGTACCGCGCACTCATCTCTGCATGTTGAAAGCATCTCTGCAAGGTGCACTCAGCAACACGGCTAAAATCTGCCACATACTGGTGTACCATCTTTCTTGAAGAAAAGTATGACTTTTGGCTTGGAATTTATTTACTATCCACCTGGCTCTAAATATGTGCGGGAGACATCGGGGCAGAAAAACACTTTGTGCTGAGAATGACTGATATGAGAACTGGGATAGTTCATAGTTCCCAGGAAATCCATTCCTTCAGGCTCAAGACAATTTTGACAAAGCTCTTCCACAAAGGGCAGCTTTATTGTCACTGGAGGCAGTTGCAGGGCAGTTTATTAGCTACATATGCAGAGTTCAGTGCCTTAGAAAGCCCTTCCTCCCCAAGCCTGTAAGCACTAATGAGACACAGGCATGTGCCCACTTCACAATACATGCTAAGGAGAGAACACAGAAGGAAGTACTGCTTAATGTCTGTCTCTTTTGTGCCACTCTTAGGATTCCTCATTCATAAATCCTGGCCTATTCAAGATGTTATTCTCCAGAATGAGTCATCTGGCATTTCTGCGTGATCAGGAAGACAGTAGTCCTGTACAAGTGACTGGGGCTGTATATCTGCACAGAGTTGCTGACATGCATAAGCATTTGCAAGATCAGTGTTATCTTATTAATACGTCTCCATTTAAAAGCAGCCCAGTAGCATATTGCCTGAGCAATGCCTCAGCAGACTGAGGCAACTGATAATAAGCTTCTTTCCCGTACATGCCTGCTCAAACAGCAGATAATTAGCTGGCAAATGTAGGCAGAAAATTTATGAAAACCATGGAAAGTGCTAGGGAAGGGGAATAGGCTTCAAAAACAAAAGCGGCAGCAGGCATAAAGCTGCTTCTTAAATTAATGCTACCTACAAATACCTGCTATTTCAGGTCTTTCCCTGATGAATGAGTGTCTAAGAAAATTAAGAAACCTTCCCCACTCCTTTTGCCAGGCATAAGCCTCAGCCTGCGCAGCTATAAGATGAAAAACATTTACATGGTATGTGTAACTGTCATTAGTTCTACTGAGCATTTAAGCCTCTGCTCCCCAGATGTTTTCCTGGAAAACTCACAAAGTTGTGAACCCTGAAGTCTAATTTGTCAGTGCCACATTGCAGTCTCCACACTTTGATACCCTGGGGTTGGCCCATCACTATCAGAGAAATCACTGCCTCATTCCTCGCAAGAGGGATTTACCAATCTTTTGGCCTTCTCTCCCCTCCTAAAACTAATAATATCAGAAATGGAAATTGTATAAGCATTATAAATCTCACATGTTGGAACTAGGTAAAATGTTGCAGGTCATTCCAGGCTGACAACTCCATAATAAACAAACAAAACAGTATAGTCTTAGCTGGGAATACAGCAGAGAAACATCTACATCTACGCCTGTACATCTCATATTGAGCAGGGATATCAAGAGATACTGAGCTGTAATGTTTATCATTGAGAAACCGCTTTGTTAGCCATCCCACAGAATATTCTATACTTCGTAAATCTGAATTGTTACTGTGTTTACTTTCATATTTTGTTCTAATAAGGATTTGTTTCACTCACAAGACAGTAGATTAACAGAACCCACACAGCAGAGAACGGGCTAAACAAATACCACTTTCATCTGGGGCTCTTCTGAATGCTTTCAGACTGATCACCAGGCCATCCAGAAAAACAAGTTCAACAGAAGACATCCGCAACTTAATTAGCTGAAGCAACTGGGGCCACACAGGATGACACTACTTTGTTTGTGGCCTTTCTGCCTGAGGAAACAACAGGTCCTTCTGACTATTACTTACCTAATTTCAATTAGGACTGAGCCTATGGGCTGATTACAACTAATTCAGCAATGGGACTGACGTTTCTGTAGACACTATGTTTTCATAGTGTTCATGAAAATGGCTTGGAAGAAGCAAGAGGCATCCTGTTGGCATGCTTTCTGAGAGAAAGTTAACATGAAGTTTTCAAACTTTATCCAATATTTGAGAATTCTGACAGGAGGCAGGCTAATCCAGAGCAAGCTGGTGTTTGTGTGTTGGGCTACAACTCAACAACAGATTAGGAACGTGTGCGTAATGCTAAATATATGTCTTTTAAATTATTTGCATTTTTATTCAAATATTGCCTAACAAAAATGAATCATCCCAGCGCAATCTGCAAACATTAGAGAAAACCAGTGACAGGTGTAGTCTGTTTGGCATCTTAGAGGAAATCTAAGACAACTTTCCATACAAACCACAGCAGCAGAGATCACATTTTTGGGGAGAATTGTCAACAGAGTTGCACTCTTCCTCCTCTTTATCCTAGAATAATATAGTGAAAGCAGTCCCCAGAAGAGGAGACAGCACAGACCAAGATCTGCAACAGCCTCAGGGAGCTAGAACCCCAACAGCCCTGTTAAATATCCTAACCATAGGTTGGTAGGCACTTTTTAATATCTCCTTTCAGAATGTCACAGCAGGGTGCTGTTTATCACTTCTTAAGTACTGCCCCATCATCACATAAACACGCTCTCCCGTACAAGCAGACAACACACAACACCCTCTACTACTGCTCTTAAGTGAGCGCTCACTGTGTTTCAATTTTCTTTTATTGGCATAGTTCCTGACAGTGAATCAGTCGGCTAGTGGAGGCAGCCTAGGAACTACCAACAGAAGACACAAGAAAGGCAATCAAAATAGAGGTAATTTATTTTATATGTACTCATGGTCTCCTCTCTCTTGCCTGTCTCCACAAAGATGCACAGTCTTGGTTTTGTGTACTTGCTTACAAGAAGAGACAGCTTTTTCTTCCTTCCTCTTTGCTAAGCCTGCTGCTATGCAATGAAGTTTATGTTTGCTAAAGTTGAGAAGAGGAAGTCCTTAACCTGCACAAATGGGAAGAAGGAGTAAATGATGGTTTCATCTTGTTGTAGTTAGGGATTTCTGTTTATTTGTTTGTTAGGAGTTTTGTTGTTTGTTAGCGTTTTTATTTTCTGAGGATATTTGAGTAGATGAGTGAATGTCTCAGTATTTTAAGAGAGTGCATAGATGCCAATTCATGTCATTTTCAAATGCATTTAAATTTCTCTCATGAATTAAACAGGAGATACTGATATGTGCCTAGTACATTAGTGAACGAGTTGTCCTAACAGTCCTAGTGGTTTTGTGACCCACAAGTGTTAGGGTTCTCCAGTGGGTACAGTGATGAATTTCTAGAAGCTGTTAAAAGCTTACTGTCATTAAATTTCAGAACTTTTCAGAGCTGGCCTTTTGAATGTGAACTGCCTTCTTTTTTAAGAACTTAATTCCTATTTGCAATGGTAAATGCTCCCCTTTGGCTTTATTTCATTACATAAAGATTAGATGCTTGTTCAGGGCTTCTACAGTCAAATCTTTGCCTCTGAAAATAATGAGACAGATGAGACAGATCCTGCCAAGCTTTGGAGTTAATTGGCCTACTCTGTCTGATTTATAGAGCATTCATCTAGAAGTGCCTTAAGGCATTCCAGCTACCACAAGTGATAAATATGATATACAGAATAAAAGGTTACCCTAAAGAGGGCAGCAGTTTGGCTTCCTTGTTACGCCATCTATTCGTACAAAAAACAAACTGTGACTTAAGCTAAACACAAATCTTCTTCAAAAAAGACATTCTACATGCAGAGACAGAGGGACGTGTTTACTCCTGTGAGAATAGCAAAAAACAAGGAAGATTATCTACTATACAACTGTGCTAGCCGAACACACAGGTGGAAGGTTTTCTATTCGTTTGATAGAGGATAGGAACTGTTCACATACAAAGGGAAAGACCTGGACTGAGTTTGGATGCCAATATTAAGGTTGTTAGTATTTCCCAGTTCAGCTTTAACCCGCTGCCTGGCGACTCAGGGTGCATGACTGATCTAACTGAAGATGAAAAGAACTGAGACCTCATTCTCTCACAAGTTTAGAGATAGAAATTTTCTTGGTTATACCTCTCAGAACAACCCTCTCACCCTCAAATTTTACATATCTACCCCATAGTGTGCCAGACTCTTCTTTATGGCCTGGTGGCTTCCTCTCTGCTACTTACAAAGGCAGCTACAGCCAAAGAGAAAACCCGACTCATGCCTGTTCTCCCCTCAGCAGGGCTCTGCCCCCAGCAAACACTTCTTCCCTGACAAACGCTCCCTAGGAGCTCCTGGGAACCCCATTACCTTACAGGCTTCTGTCTCACTGCTGAGCTTGCTAGAAATTCACCAGGGACATCAAGAACTTAATTATGGGGTGGACAGAAAGGTGAACCAGCACAATCACAAAAAGGCCCTTTTAGGCACGCCCTTTCTTCTGAGGAAACCAACCTACAAGTGCAGTCGTGCCCGCATGATGGTGAGGCAGTCGTACAAGCAGCCTTCACAAGCTGAAACTTTAGACCATGCTACACATCCCTTTGCTCCCACAGATCCTCTTACTGAACATTTTTAGGTGGCCTGCTTGATCTTGAAGGTCCTTCTCCATCTGCTGAACGACTGGAACTTTTCTCCTCACAGCACTCACTCTCCCCTCAAAGAGGCACCAACCTCTCTCAGGCACATTCCTCCGGCCCAGGCCACATCCCTCCTGGAGCCCCTGGCTCACTCCCCACCGCTCTTACCCGCCCTGAGCTGCCCACCAGCCCTCCTCACACAGGCAGCTGTTTCTCTCAGGCCTGGGGACAACGCACCTGGGGGAGCTTCCAGGAGAAACCCCCCTTAGTGCAGTTTAAGTGCACAGAAAGATCCCTTTTCTAAAGCAGGGAAAACACACATGCATGTGCTCTTTCACACAGACCCAGCATGTGGTGCCTCCTTATGCTGCTCTGCTGCCAAGGAATCGCCTCTTCAGCTGGATTCTCCTCCGTTCTGAACTCAGAGGAAATCCAGAAAAGGAAGTGTTTCGACCCTGAATGCTTCATGAACGTTGTAAGTTTTTACTGTTGTCTCTGTGTTTCTTTTTAAATCTTCGGTTCCACTATCACTACCCCTGCACAATCACTAACAGTTTGCGCTAGGACACTGATGCTATTTCTAACTTTCCCCAAGCTCCCTGTGCCCAAGCAACTGCATTAGAGTCATGACTGCAAACAGTGCAGCTCTGAACACACAGGGGACAGATGTGACCCTTGTACATTGCATTACTTTTCACTCAGAGGACAAGCAATTCTACAGGATCTGCTCAAGGCCAACACGGGATCAGGGCTACTCAATTTTGACCCCCAGCACCATCACTCAGTCCAAGACTGTGCTCAGAGCACATGCTACCTGCACCACACAAGACCAAATCAAACAGACTATTCTTGTCTATGCATTCAGAGAACACTGACAGAGGCATGAAGAACACAGGCTTGAGCTATACTTATAACCCCGAGTCTTTGTCACACAGTCACCCTTCCCCAATGTGCCTTGACATCTCAGGCTTCTGTCAGAAGAGTGGGAGACTGCAGTTGTGGCAGGAGAACAGAGTTCGTCCAGCAACGGGCTGGGCAGCACCACCCCAGGGAACACCATGGCTCTCCACCTGAACAGTTTGACCTGCCAGAGAGAGCACCACCTTAATGGTGGAAACAGCAGGTGGTTGCTTGTCTAAAGGGAAACTAACCTTCACTATCAACCTGGTTGCTCTATACAAATGGCAAGGGATGCTGAACCTCTTCTTCAAATAGCAGATGCTCACATCACAAGTAACACAAGACCCCATGCTCCGACTTACCAAAGCTCTCCTCACAGCACACACAAAACCAGGGGTAGGTGCTCTCAGGAGTTCCTTCCTCACAGGAGCCCCACTCTTTACTTGCCTCCCCTGGATAGTTTGCCTAATCGGACTCTGGTAAGAAAGCACTCGTTCTGGACCAAGATCACATCATTTGGCATTAATTCAGCCCAGAGCCTGCCACATGTTTACTCTCCAGAAAGGTACAACTTGCATCAGCCTTGCACAACATGACAAACTATTGCACCTGCATTTGCTGAAAGAGATGAGACGACATCCTCTTTGGAGACTGCAGCTGAACTCCGTGGCTTGTCTCTTTACTTCCCCAAAGCCACCACGTTTCCCAGCAAGCAGCAGATCCTTCATCCCATGTTCCGAGGGACAGTTCTGGTGAGAACGACACACGCTTCCGAGCTCTGCAATGCACTAAACTAAACACTGAGTCTAGTCTAGGGCTTCCCCCCTGCCTTCCTGCACACATGTATCTGCTTCGCACGCTACAGTTTGGGAACAAGATGGTGCTGAAACGCAATTCAAGCGTTTCTGCCCACTCTTCCCGTGGAAAAGCTGTGCTGTGCTCTTCGGCAGGAATCCTTTTAGGGACCCTTCCCACTAGCACAAAGTAGAGCAGAGGACAATAAGCTCCGTGCTACCACAAGCACTTGCCTGGCCCTTCCTCAGCCCCTCCACACCTGAGCTGCTTCTTGGCTGGCTTCACATTCTGGCACACAAGCAGCCTCCAAACAGACACCTCCTTCTGCACCCACCTCTGCACTGTCAAAGTTAGTAACAAACTCTCCTTTGGCCTCCCACAGAGTGAAATTATCAGATATCACGGGTATCCCAGTGAGGAGTATGAAGTTACTACTGAGGATGGATACATTCTTCGTGTCTTCAGAATTCCTGGTGGGAGGAACAGTCCCAACACAGGTGTGTCAGTTACAGCCCCTAAGGAAAGGCTGGGAGGCAGCTCTTACATGGGCCACCCATCTTTCCCCTTTGCTCACGCCATGGCCTGCTCCACACTCTTGAGTTGCAGCAAAAGCACCTTGTCAGGAATTTGGGCTGCATTCCAAATCCATCTCAAGTCTGCACATTCAGTGTCTCCTTTCAAATTTCAAATTCTTATGATTTTTTTCCACAATTCCAGTTTTTCCCTTTGATATAATGTATATTTGTTGGCAGCCTGAAAACATTTTTATCATTAGGCTTAAATAATTCTTATAATAGCCATAAATAATTCTGATTAAAAAAAGAAAAAACTTTTTTTTAAGCTAAGAGAGTTCTAGATAAAAAAAATCTCTGATTCATCATTTAAATAAAGCTAAGTCATTAGCTTATGAGATACGGAAGGGACAGAAAACCTAACACCAACGAATATGAGGAATCTGTATGTAACACCCTCTTTGAGAAATCCTTGATATAATGAAACTGGAATTCTATTAATATATCTACTTACAATACCATGGTAATTGGAATTCAAGGATATAAATCCTGGACCCTTTTCTTGCTTCTCTTTATTTGTTGCCTTTATATGTCTGTTCTGTTTTTAATCTTTCATCTCTACTTATTGGTGGTAGAAACCAAGAGATCTGTAGGTTGCTTTCTCAGTGCAGAAGAACGTGGGTACTGGCCAAACCAAAACATTCTTCACTGCTCACAGGAAACAGCAGGACTGCTTGCATGGAAGCCAGTCTTCCAGGCAGCTTAGCCAAAAAACCTGCGGTAAACATCCATGGACTTACTGAACAGTTCAAAACAAAACAAAACAACAACGAACTAAAAATTCTAAAGCATAAAACTTTCTAAAGCATCAGAGCACCTTTTTATTTTTCAGGAACAAAGCCTGTAGTCTTTCTACACCATGGTACTGTAGGAGATGCTATTCACTGGATTTCTAACCTGCCCAGCAACAGCCTGGCATTCATCCTAGCAGATGCTGGCTACGACGTCTGGATTGGAAATAGCCGAGGGAACACTTGGTCTTTAAGGCACAGGACCCTTAAACCATGCCAGAAAGCGTTCTGGAAGTACAGGTATTCTATGGAAATACTGATGAAAGCAACTTTCAGGAGGTGCAGAAGCTTTCCCCTTCGGGCTGCTGGTTTTTATATTACCTGATTTCAAGTGAAACATACAACATTCAAGGGGACTAAAGCAAATTATCTCCCTGAATGCAGCCACTTTTAGCTATATCCTAAGGGTCAGGGGGAAGGGCTTGGCTGGGTTACCTGGACAGGCCCTTCTGGAGTCAGCACACACAGAAGGAAAGCTTGAAACACCTAAGTCACCCATCAGTTTGTCCATACACAATGCTAGATTCTTTGGAGGAAACACCTCCAAGTTTCTCCCAATGTTGAGAGGCCTCTAGGACCTCTAAGTATCCCACCAAAAACCAAGACCCCAGTGCACACAGGAGAGCAGGCTGCTCAGCTCAGTCTAGAAATCTGATCTCTCACAGTTGAACTCAAACAAGAAGAAAATAACTAAACTGAGAAAGTTATAAAGCTATAGACAAAGCTGGTACTTCCTCAGCAGAGAGCCTCATGCAGCCTCGTAGCACAGCTGCATCCTGTCCCTAGTCACAAAAAAGTATCCACCTACGTGTGTAATCTCATCTTTGAACGGGTTCTGCTTGGTGCTATAAAGAAAACCAGCATTCAGAAATTCATGCTGTGATAGGCAACCTTGCTAGTTGTCAGCTTTTTGTGTTTCTCCTCTGTAGCTTTCACGAGATAGGTAAATATGATCTGCCAGCAGAGCTGTACTTCACCATGAATAAAACCGGACAGATGCAACTCTATTACATTGGCCACTCAGAAGCTTCAGCCGCAGGTAATGTCAGGACTGCCTGATTATAAAACCATGACTGCCCCAACCTGACTGGAATGTCCCTCCCTCTGTCAGATATCTTTCTCTCCTATAAAATTAAAGGGAGAAGTACTTTCTGGACTGACATTTGCAAAATACAGGAAACTTTACTAAAACTGTTCTGTTTAGCTGAAACATAGAAATAAATAGAGGATCTAGAAATGGTTCTAACTTCTGTAAGTAAGGATTACTAACATTTAAAAGCTATTATTTACCAGGTACCATATATTATAGTTTGCTAAGTATCCTTATACAGGATGGCTACAGTCTAGCCATTCACTGTTGTTTTATCATAGTTTTACCGCATTTGATATTTTTTCTCAAGTTCCAGCAAGAGTAAATTTTTATTAAGCTCAGTTTTTAAGACAAATATACCTGATCTTCATAGACTAGTTGTAAATACTAAAAACAACAATCCAAAACACAGTTCAAAATCCGTCATGAACACTGTTACTATACCAAAAGAAAAAAGTTACTAATGACTTAATCTCAGTTAAAGCACAACTCCTGAATGACTATAACTGACACCATTACTGAATAAAAACAAATTACCAGACACTGGAAATGAGAAAAGAAAAATCAATACTAAGAACTTCCTTGTTATTAGTATCTATGTACCAACATTAGCTCACTTAATGGCTTTTGAATGCAACTTACTTTCATTTAGCATCAGTTAACAGTTCCTGGTATCTCTGGTATATGCCTAAGATCCTAGAATGGATACTAGGTTTTATCCAATGAGTCATCGTGTGCTGTAAGCATTTTACAGCAGTAACCTCAGAAACAGAGAAGAAAATGGGAGAGGGGGAAGTCACATGGGACCATATGCTTAGAAAAGTTTTTTTTCCTCTCATAAGAGTCTTTTGGAAAAAAAAAAAAAAGGCAAAGACAGCATCTTCTTTGTCTTTAGGTACTTATATAATCAGTTAAAATTGTCATTGTATCCATCAGTGGAGGAATTTGAATGCGCTCAGAAACAGAATAAGATGTATCCTTTCTGGTCTGTTCCATTCTTCCCCAAATTCTTCCCTTATTTACATGTTCACTCACCCTTCTAAGTTTGCACTTACTTACAAGTCAAACAGTTGTTCTTAACCTCTCAGCCTTCAGATAATTATCTTACTACTGCATGCCACCATGAACATATAAGTCTTTTAAAGACCACAAGCTGAAAAACTATATCTTATTAGAGTTTGGGAAACTTTGGAGGGATATCTGAGTTAAGAAAATCTCATTTATGCATCTTTTCTTGAAAAATGCCCTTATTACTAAATGGTCAGTTCTGAGAAAGTCGAAGTCTGGATAAACTCTAATGAAGCTGTATCTTTAGAATGAACTCTGCTTTCTAAGCAAAGTGTCAAGCATCAAACACTTTCCTCAGGTAAAATATGTAGCACCAACTACAGACAATGAACTGCTAATCTAGGCTCACTTCTTATTTGCTTTTCAATTATTTTATCCTTGGAAGATCTCTTCACTATCTCACGTTCCTTTTCTGTGTTTGCAGCTTTCGTAGCCTTTTCTACTTATCCTGAGCTGGCTCAGAGGATCAAAGTGTTCTTTGCTTTTGGACCAGTAGCCACACTTACACATGCTTCCAGTCCTGTGACTACATTTCTAGGTCTTCCTCAAGCAATTATCAGGGTATGTAATTCTTCCTTCTAAAAGACCTAATAGGCTACTTTATCTATACTAGATTCACTCAATATGAGCTGATTTTGAAGGAGTTGATGAATTAATACGGAGTCTAGTATATCAGAGTGCTAATAGTGCTGGTAGACTTCAGATTCCACGCAGCTGAATTGCTAGGGTTGACACAATCCCTCTTTTGATATTTCTTTAAGATAACAGAAATATTTTTGCCATTTATTTACACCAAGTATTTCTGAAGGAAACTTGAAAATATTAGGATACCTGAGTCTACACACTCCACTAAACATAGCCTTAAGCACTAGTAGAAAACTGCAAGTTTAACATTTTTAACTCATTAGACATATCATGTCATCCTTGCAGTTCCATTATGTTTATGAAATAATTATTAACTACTAAACAAGGAAACCCTTTAATTACTAAAAAAGGAAACTCTTAAAGGGAGATGTACCTATTTTACACCAAAACTAACCAATTTAATATAATTTTCTGCGCATGGTAGAAATCCTGTACATTTATGCCAAATTGCAGCAGCATGTGCTCTTTCTGGTCCTGTATCCAGCGTATCCCTGTATCTTTCTGTATGTACTATGTAGCTAGGGAGTCTCTGGCTCTACATCCTTCTCCTTTGCCTGCTCCCTCTTTGCTTAGTCTCAATATTGAGAGTGCAGAAAAGAGGGACTCCTTGCGTTTTAACTCTCTCTGTGAGGTAGCTGCAATAGAAATAGGAGAGCTCCCTCCAAGACTCAGGTCCAGCAATACACAGCAGGAAGAACACACACCGTGCTCTCTGTAAGAATACACCTTAAATGGTATTGGGAAGCCGAGCGGTTTCAGCAATCTGAGTTTAGAGACTAGGCTACTAGGAAAGAGCGAGTGGCAGTTTCCTGTATGATATGCTCATATAACAAGAAATAAAAATTTTGCACTTTTTCCTCCACAGTTAACACTTGGCTGCAAAGGAGTCTTTCACCAGAATGAACTGCTGAAAAGGCCTCTAATACTGTTTTGTAAATCTTTTGGAAAAGCCTGTGCAGGTATCCTGGCTTACATAGCTGGGGGCAGGACAGGAAATCTGAACGCGGTAAGCACAACCAAGGGCACCTTATTACAAATAAAGCTAAAGTAACTTTGACAGAATATAATGTTTCTACCATACCCTCTTTCTGCCCTAAGAGATTATCAGACAAGAATCAAACCATTTGTTAAAGTACAAGTAGATTATAGGGTTTCTTTTCTTTTGTATAATTCATATTTTCCTTCCTAAACAAGACATCCACATCCTCAGAATGTATGAGACTATTTCTTGCTCCTCCCTAAATTTCAAAACTTTTGAGCCAAAACTCAGACTCAAAAGCTAGTCCTCTACACTTCTCTCAACAGGATATCATCATTTTACTATGGTTACCATCTTTTTTCCCTTCGTGCTCACCACCTCTTTTCTGCTGCCCTTTGCTCTTTCTCATACTTAGATTATATAACAAATCTTCTCATAAAATCTTCCCAACACATAGTCTCATTATGCCCATCAGACGGTCTATTAACAATCTTCTTGTACTCATTAAACACAGCACTGCTTAGAGGTATCCGACAAAATGTGAAAACTTAGGAAATGCCTTTCTACTAACTCCCCAAATACAGTCTTCCATATGACTAAGCATTGATGTGGGAGAGATTCTTTTAAAAGCATAGACTCTGCTTATTAATTCCTACTGCAAAATGATGTGTTTGTGAATCTATTCTTAGCTTTCTGATTGCTATTTTAAAGAACATAATATTAGAGGGAGAATTTTACATGGCAGAATGTTACATAGGTAGTCCATTTTTTTTCTGTCATAACACTCGATCCCTACATTTGTAGCATTTCTGCTTTCTCTTCAGAGTCGAATAGATGTATACGTAACACATTGCCCAGCTGGGACTTCAGTTCAGAACATCCTTCATTGGCATCAGGTATGAATCCTGCACACCTGATGTATAAACTGACGTATTAATTGACTCTAACTCCTACTTTCTACCCAACTGGCAGCCTACAGGGAAGTCCAGAGGCCCTGGGCACCAGCCCAACACACCGTCTCACGGACTGCCGTGAGCACCCGCCGTGCACGGAGTGCTCTTTACCTCTGGCCAGGGCACTTGCCTGAGTTGTCCCTTTCCTCTGGGGCACCGAGATTTCCCTGTGGCACAACAGGCCATGGCCCGCCAGCCTCTAGTGACTCCCAGGCCTCATCAGCCTTTATTGATGAAGATGGTTGCCTTGAAAAGTCAGGAATGACCTCAAGTACAGCCTGGGCACTTGGCAGGCACTAAGAGGATAGCGGAATACTGGGCAGCTTGGGGATAAGCCAGAACAGGGAAGTGATCCAGGTTAAAACATTTTTCCCCAGAGGACTAATTGCAGCTTGGATCAGCTCCCAGAACCAGTTAAACACACAAATGCTTCCACTGGCATAATGGAAGTGGAGAACTTTACATCACTCATACCTGAGCTTGTTGTGTCTATGCTCTGAATCATATCAGGGAAATAACAGTGGTCATTTTTGCTAATACTTAAAATGGTCCTAAATATACATGTGTTCCTGGGCACACTGCTGACAAAAAGTCCCTGCACTCAGGCCCTCAGAACTCAAGGCCAGTAAGTGGAGACAAACTAGCAGATTATTAGCATATCCTCGATTACTCAAAGCCTTGAGTTCAATCCACATATTCCAGGCCAGATACAGCAAGGATAACTCAGAAACAGTTTCACAATGTTTTCTTACCCTAAATTACAGGCAACTACTCACAAATCAAACTACTTAACAGATTTGGATAAAAACAACACAGCAACTTACCTTTCCAGCAGGACAGATTCCAATTTTTTAGACAACACAGATTCAAGAATACTCTTCAGTGACAGGCTAAATTGAGAGATAAACTCCTTCAAGAATTATGGAATACCTGGAAACACTATCACTGCTGTAAGCAGCCAGGCACAGTTGACAGCCAAAAGACAAGATGTGTGAGGAAAGATCACACAGTACACTGGACTAGTAATAGTCCCAACAGCTCCTAGACATCCAGATCCCCTTTCCAAAGGGAAACATGAATGTAGTCACAGGTCAAGATGGCAATGCCAACTTTACTCAACTAAGTCAAGAAATATTTTAATAGCAAAGCATGCCCTGGCTGGTGTCTGAGGACAGCAAGGGGACAGGCAATAAAGTCATTCACCCTATGATCCACACTCATTACTTGAGAAAACCAGCATGAGAAAGAGGTAGGAGTCACAGTCCAGTGTCTGGGCACTGCAGTCCTTGAACTCTGTTTCTCAGTCGTTTAACATTTTCATTGTATTTGTTTTTATTACAACATTAACAGCTAATACTTGCAAACCGATTTCAAGCTTATGACTATGGCACCAAGGAAAATATGAAGAAATACAACCAGGTAAGACAATATGTTTTTCTGGAGAACTCATCCTTGGGTTCTGGCTTAGAATAGATACTAAGAATAAAAAACTTCTTTGGAGAAAGGCTCCGAAGATATGGCAAACACTTCCATCTATGCACAAGATGGTTAAATACTACAGTCTGGATTAATTTTGAAAGGACTGACTTTATGATCCCAATACTTTGGACAGTTAGGAAACTGTCCAAAAAAGCAGTCAAGCGAAATATTAACTACTCTCCCTGAAATTTTAGGAATGGTACCTTGTCACCACGTAGACAACTAATCACCCTGTATATTAAGCCATTTATTTAGGGCTCAGAAGATCTCTGCTCTGTACTTTGAGGTTTCTTTAATCTCCTCAGTGATGATAGGCAAGACAGGTAGCCTTACTTCTTTTTATTCCGTCTGTAGCAACACCATGACCTGAGAGAGTCAGTGAAGCCTGGAACACTGCAGCTAAGACTGTTTCATTCCATGACCCCAAAAAGCATGAAAAGAACACGAAATTAGTCAAAACTGGGACACATATGAACAACAGCTCTGCAGTCCTCAGTAAACACAAATACTGTGCTCTCCATAGCCCCACCTCTCAAGGACATGAGCAGCACTCACACGGCAGAACAACGTGTAACCATGCACTAGGAAGGCACTGAGGAATAGGACAGGTCGCTGTTCCTCACCGTAGGCAAAAAAATGAAGGGGAATAATCACTGAGAGGGCAGGCTTGGTCCCGACTATTTTCCTGTAGTGAGGGAGGGGAGAAGGGAGGGAAGCAGAGATGATTGCACAGAATCTTTTCCCCAAAAGCAATTTTTGGCAGAACAACATTCACTTCAAGTCTGCTTCCTTCCTTTCAGGCCACTCCTCCTGCATATGAGATAGAGAAGATTAACACACCAATTGCTCTTTGGAGTGGTGGACGCGACAAGTTTGCAGATCCAAATGACATGGGAAGGCTACTTCCTCGCATCAAAAACCTCATTTACTATGACAATTTTCCTGACTGGGGACACCTAGATTTCATCTGGGGCGTGGATGCACCTAAGAAAATGTACTGGAAAATCATTGAACTAATAAGAAAAAACCCTTAACATTTCACAGAAGGAACTCATCCATCCAGTAAAAGCCCTCGGATACTTCTGTTTAGCAATAATGATGAATCCTGAGGATAAACACACAGATACACACAATGGATATTGGTATAGGGGTTTCCAAACCTGTGTGGTTTGTATTTTCTTGCATTTCTAATAGTTTTAGGTTTTCCACGGTGCTACCATATTTAGGTGATTGGAATCTTCCTGAGAAATCGAGGTCCGTGGGGATGGGATGACTATTGAAAATACAAGCATTCTGTGCATCACTTATTTTGGGATATATTAACTGCTATAACTATTTTACTATAACTAAACTAAACATTCTTCTCACTTGTATATCAATACTACACATTCTATTGGAGACAGAGGTGTTATTTCATGAAAGTACACAATGGGATTTGCTCATTTTTCTTGATTAGATATTTGTTTAGATTAAATCATCTATCTCTTGAGAGAGTGCTTGGCATATCTTTCCTCACATTTACCAACAGTGGCAAAAAAGACTCAGGAGATGTCAGAAGATGGCTTCGACACGCAAGCACTAGTTAGCCTCAATGGCTCAAATGCCAAGGGATTTAACCTAAGAAAATTTATGTCATAGAGGAATCACCAGATTGGGCAGATGCAAATATTCTCTTGCCCTCAGATGCAGATGCAAATCCATCAGGCAGCCAATGCACCAAGCAATACACCAATCACAAAATATTCTTGGCACTGGCAGCTTTTGCAAGCTTTTCCAGCTTCCCAACTCACCACATTAGTGTATCCTCTCTGCTCACCTACAAGATGATCCAGGAGGCAAAAGGTAACACTAAAGTATTTGTCTTTACAGATAAGTCAGTGAACGACACCACTCAGGAAAGAAAGCAGCTTGTAACATCTTCCATGCTGAACACCAAAAGGTGCCATGATTACCAAGCACTAATATTTCAGCTTAATGTCTGAGACATTAAGACACCTGAGATTACCAAATTCTCTCATTCTTCCCTTCCCCTCCAGTGCCCTTCTTGTCAACCTACCACAGCCACAGACCAACCATTATACCCTTATTTAAACCTTCTTCTTCTTTGGTACCTTATCCACAGTTTCTTTAGCAGCAGTTTTCCTAATTCATGTTTCTCCTTGCTTAAGCCCACCCAAGATTTAGATCAGCCAAGATAAAGCATGCACGCTCATAACTGCTCAAGCACACAGAAACTCATTCAAATGCAGACTGAACATAAGGAATTTCAAAGCGCAGAGGAGAGAGACACGCGAGATAACAACTACTACAAGCACTAGGCACGTCACACTCTCCCTGCCTCACATGCCCACCTTGTGGGCCAGAAAGGGCACCCACCGCGCTCGTCGCTCTTTGCCCCTACCTAGTTTTGCAGGCTGGTGCCCTCGCCGCTCTCCTCCCACACTCTTGCACGCCCAGGCAGGGAGCTGCTTGCTCTGGCTGGCCCCAGAGCTGCAGCACGCTCTGCAAAGTGCGGCCGTTGGGCACCAACGGTTGGGGCAGGGGCACCCGGTGGCCTTTGGGCAGTAATGGCCGGGGCAGGCGCGCAGCGGCCGTTGGTCACTAACGGCCGTTGGGCCCTAGCGGCGGGGCAGGCGCGCGGCGGCCGCTGGGCACTA